GCTCGCTCTATCTTCTGGTGTATATGGCTGCTCAGTCGGTTTTCATTTTTACTCCTTAGAGAGTCAAGACATTCATTTATTAGCTTTTTTAGCAGTTCTGAGCTCATATTTCTGGATTTTTTTAATGAAATACTCGATGGATTAGTCTAAAAGTTTAAACCCAGATAGGTCTCAACTAGTAGATTTATTTTGAATGTCTAAAAAGTGGCCAACAAGAAAGTTCGTAGCCGTGCTGTGCTCGAGATCCGGTTTTTTGGCACGTTTTCACCCATTTTTAATCAGTTAAAAAACCTTTGTGAAAGAGAAGAGCCTACTCTAAGTTAAACCAATATCCGGACCGGAATCATCATCGGAAAGTGTTAACGTCAGCAGATGTTATGTTGTTGACGCAAACCTTTTTCATTCTTTTCGTTATCCTTTACGTAACCTATGTGAGGTTCGATGTTTCCCCAACATATGCAAATATGTCTATGCTATTCCTTTCTCTTTCTCTCTCTCTCTCTCTCTCGTTCAGCTATATGAACAAGTTTTTCACCAGTAGTTCAGTTGTTTATTTTTGTTATATGAGTCACTCGTTTTTTTTGAATAAAATACATATTCACCATCTAGACCTATATTATCTTCTCTATTATATGAATCTACAAGTTAAAGTAGGATAACTAACACCACTAACTTAGCTAATACAGATATTAGGTTTCTATTGATTTCTTCCGACCTATTAACATCTAGTGGGTAGGAGAATTTGGATGAAAGAGAAAACTAACAGAAACTGGATTGATTTATCTATGTTTCAAATATCTCTGGAAATTTACATTTTTCTCGAAAATTGGTCCGCTGTTCTCCGCTAGGGTACTCTCAAAAAAAAGTCATTTCTCGTATAAATATTATTTGCTTTGCGGAATGAAGTGCTATCACTTCTTAAATAACACTGTAAGTGAAGTGACAGACGGCTAAACGGTAAAAACTTCATTCCGGTAGAAGCCACTTGGTGAGGCTACCCTGAGGGGGAGTATTAAACAGATTTTCTAGAAAAATGAAAGTTCTTAGATATGTTTGAAAAATACAAAAATCGACTCAACTTTCGGTGTTGAGCTCGAATCATTATTAGTTTTGACCTTTATTGGACTTATCTTTATGAAAAAGGAATCCTTATTACCAACCAAAAGCGGGCAGAAACGTAAAAAAGATCGTCCCTAAAGCACAACGTAACTAAAAATTTTCCTAGTGGTCAAGTGTTTTAGCTTTTCAAAAGACCTATCCAATGGATTCTGCTAGAATTTTTCTCATTTGAAACTTTATGATAAAATATTTGTTGAAACATAAGAGTTGATCATAAATACAGGACCTATATCAACTGTGTCTAACAGTCTACGAGACTCCTCCCCATTAAATCAAATAACCACTGATTCATTCATATACAGGATTGAAATCCTACTAAAACACTAGCAAATACTGAATTTGTACAGGTATCTTTTCTTTTGAATTTACTCTAATAATAAATTGACTGTAATAGAGTAGGTTATTGGACAAATGAACAAAATGTGAGCTGCTTCGTTAAAGACTTTTTGTTCTAAAAGTTCGGTCAAAACCCCATGGATATAAAGGATGGCCTAGAAGTCCTGAGTCGATTTGTATAATAATTCTTTTTGCGCTAAAACATACACTTTAAAATATGTCTCTATGATAGAAAGACGCAGTAAAACACACCCTACAAAATGATCTATGATTGACTTCCTCTAACTCATATAGTAAGAACGTTATAAGCTTAGAATTAGGCTTCACAAAAAAGAAAAATTAATCGAGGATCTTTTTATATGGTGGTGCTTCCAGTAAAAGTTCCGTAACTCCATCAAAACAGAAAAGTTTTTGATCGAATTTGTTCATTTATGATCCGAGATGGTTGCTCTTCCCTACCAAACTGTAAAATCAAGCGTCCATCACGTTTTCTGTTTTTTACTTGGACATATTTTCAGAAATAGGGGTTTCGATTTTCGAAATTTCATTCTCGAGCACACCATCTGCTCTAAAAAAAAAGCTGTCTACAGACTACAGGAAAGAGTACAATAGAAACTAGCAAACATAAATTTAGTTCTTACTTTTGCTAAGTTTTCTCGCGGAAATAATAGGAGAAAAAAGTTTCAGTCGAAAAAGATACCAAAAAAAAATACAAAGTTCTCATTATTTCCGTATGTTGTATTTTTGATTGAAGTTCTGAGATTAAAGTTTAAGTAGGATTTTGTAGAGAATTTCATGGCGCTTCTATTGCGAAAAGAATTTGTTCTAGGAGGCCTAAGGAACAGGAGTTACTGAGATCGTATTCACGGTTAATTTTTCTTTTTCGTAAAGCATTTTTCTAAGCTTATAAAGTTCTTCCTGTATGAGTTAGAGGAAGTCAATCATAGATCATTTTGTAGAGCGTGTTTTGCTGCGTCTTTCTATGATAGAGACATATTTTAAAGTGTATGTTTTAACGCAGAAAAATTTATTATACAAATCGAGTCAGGACTTCTGGGACACCTTTTAGTGTCAAAATGGTTGGACAAAACTCCAAATGGGTCGAAGGGGCTTCTAATACGCCCCCTCTCTTTTGAGCGTTGAACTGTTCAAACAACGGTTTTGACATTTTAATGTTATAAGAGGATGTGAAAGACAATGTAAAAGTTTGTAAAATCTCGCATAAATTTTGTTCTACTAGTTGAGACCTATCTGGGTTTAAACTTTTAGACTAATCCATCGAGTATTTCATTAAAAAAATCCAGAAATATGAGCTCAGAACTGTTAAAAAAGCTAATAAATGAATGTCTTGACTCTCTAAGGAGTAAAAATGAAAACCGACTGAGCAGCCATATACACCAGAAGATAGAGCGAGCGATGCTCTACAAAACCTAGTATATCACTCTTGACCCAAATTCGGAATGGATTTTTTTTTCTAAGGAAAAATTTGCGTAGCAGTGAAATTATTGGGCTTCCATTAGAAGTTTCACTTTTCGAAGCTGAACAACATGGTTCATATGCGATTCGATAGAGCTGGACGCGGGCTATCAGAATACATATAGGATGATTTCTTTTGGCCCTAAAATCAAAAAGAAAATCTTCGCGGTAAAACCAGAACTTTTCAATGTGACTATGATTTTCCCGAAATTTCGAAAATCATATTTTGCTTATTTCAACCAGAGTCTACATTCAAACACTATTACCAAAATGATCAGCTCATCGAGCTCTACAAATTGTTAAAGTTTCAGTCGATTCTAAGAGAGTCATATATAAAGTGGTGCGTTTCCCATGGAGTCACCCAAAGGTAAAGTTCTTCGAGAATGAGAAAAAAAGATCGAGAAACCAAGCCATTTCAGTTACTCTTCGCTGCGCAAGAATACATCAGTTTCGTTTCTTGGCATAACGCTCCTGCATTTTTCGAGATAGTTCAAGTGTAACTTTAACTTATTTCAGCATTCGATGTACATGCGATTTTTCATTATTTTAAGTTATTGAAAATGTTTCCATTAAGTCGGAGTGGAAAGCAGTATTTAATTATTTGACTCATTACTTACCAGTAAAAGCAGTTGTTGTTGATGTTGTTGTTGTCGTTGTTGTTATTGTCGTTGTTGTTGTCGTCGTTGTTGTTGTCGTCGTTGTTGTAGTTGCAGTTGTTGCTGTCGTCGTCGTTGTTGTAGTTGCAGTTGTTGCTGTCGTCGTCGTTGTTGTAGTTGCAGTTGTTGCTGTCGTCGTCATTGTTGTTGTAGCTGTAGTTGTTATAGTTGATTTAGGAATACCGATTAAGGCGACAAGTATTGCAGCAATGCCCGCGCCTAGAAGAATAATAGCCAGTAGAGATAGAAATAAGCAGACAGGCGAATATTGACAACGAATGCGTTTAAAATACCTAAGTGAATGATTTTTGAAACTTTTTAACAGAAAATGAAAAACAATGATTTACTGATTCTTTTTATTTATGTTCGATCCTTGTTGATGGATGTCCAGAACATCCACGCCATTGGACAATGTGCCAGTTGCCTGAGTTAATTTAAAAGATGAATATAGACAAAATAAAAAAGAAGAAATAGTTTCATTTAGGTTCCATTGTAATTATCGAATTGAATAAAATTATTTATGATAATAACTCAAATGCAAATATAATGTATTGGGACAAAAATGATTTTACACTTCACTGACAGAAATCAAAATACCACCAAGCCTAAGTAGCTTTAGTTTCTGCCAATAAATACTTATTGACCATTCGTTATCTTTCTAAAATATATTCTCGAAACTTGTCAACAAAAAATAAACTGGACATGTAAAGTCCAAATTTGGAGTTCACTTACGCATGCATGTGTTCCGAAATGCATACAAAGACAACATACGACTGTTAAAATCAATAACAATTTTTAAAACTGTATTCATATTAATTATTACTCACGCTAATTACTTAGTACTTACCCTTATTGGTACTCACCTTAATAAATATTCAGCCTAATTACTGCAACTCATAATTCATAGTCATAAATTTATAGGAGCCTATTAGCTCTCGTTTTGGGGATTATGTAGCAATGGTAGAACTAATATTTAGTCTGCCAAAATTAGAGAGCTAAACATGTTTTAATAATCGACTTTGTCGTCGTGTCATATATAGAATATATTGAGTATCGAGTGATCGATACGATAGAACATCAACAACTGCGCAATAACGAAAGACAAAAAGATAATCACGAGATGAATCATAGTTGAGAGATTACGTAACAAATCAAATCAGAGATTCAAAAAATAGATAACATAAAATAAACGTTTAGCGTCAGTAAGCACCATCTACTGACGCTAACAGAGCCAACCTATGAAATTACCCAGAGGTTCTCAAGGGTTATCTTATGAAGGTACTCATAGGTCCTCAATAGTGGTGGTACATTTACTTTACTTTTTCAAAAAGTAAACATAGCATTTAGTAGTTACTTTAGTAAAAGTAAATGATTTATTACTAAATAAATTCAAATAAGTTGCGCATAATCAACTAAGAAAACTGCGTCAAATGTGTGTATAATCTTGAAGAAGCAAGTTCCATAACCAATGTCATCCATACTGTATACCGAACTGGTGTTGCATTAATTTCTCATATTCCGAAATTTGGAAAGGAACCTATATCATCCCATGAAGATGGAGGCGTGGAAGACTGGGAATGCAGTATCTTCATGAGAGATGCACATTCCGCTCAAAAGATGACACATGTATGGGAGGAAATGCAACATTTTCTATGGAAGATATGACTGAGGATGCATCTATAGATTCTGGGATGTGTGACACTGCTGACTTCAACTGTTTATAAGTGAGAGGTTCAAACAAACGTCTTTGTGTGGCTCTGGCCTATCTATGACGACCTATTTGCTGTTTTTTTACGAGAATATCATAATAATAAGAAAATACAATGATGTGTTAAGCGTTATTGAAAGTCAAATAACTCTATAGTTTCAGTTTAGATGAAACTACTTCAAGATCTCTACAACTGGCATCTAATCTAGCAGAATCTTTAGGTGTCGGCTATGCTGAGGAATTTTCATTTTTACGTACGTAGTAGCTCATTGAAATAGAAGCAGGAAGAATGTTAACTTTTGGGAGTTTATTCTTACCTGAAGAACTTTGGAAAATCAATTCATAAATGGCATAGCTGAACAATATTATATAGATAAAGTATTAAGTTTATGTTATAAAATATCTTTAAAAGAATTTGGCAAACAAAAATTTTACTTAAAGTATTGCAACCGTAAGAAAAATCAGATAAAAAACAAGTAAAAACTGCAGTAGAAAAGTACAGCTCAGTTTCAATTGAATTAAGGAGTGTTTATAAACAACTCGGGGTTGAATAATGACAAAGATGGAAAAGAGGAGATCAATAGTTCATGAAGTTTGAAAATTATCTCAGGAGGGCAATTTGAAGTATTTTGATCAGTGTTTCGTAGGTTTTGATCAGAGAAAGTACAGATCTAGCAAAATGAATAAATCACAAATCAGTCATCAACACCTGATAGCTTTATGTGGATTTCAAAACTTTTCGTCGAGAAAGATATCACTAGCCTCCCTCAGGGCTAAGCTAAGAAGCAAATCACATTGAAGAATAGTTTCATTAGTAAACAAAAATTCTTGGGCTGCATAATATCATAGGAAGACTAAATAGAATATGGAAAATCTATCGTAATACCGCATTGAAAAATATTTTCCGAAACAGTTCTGACAAAGGTAATTCGTGTTTTCACGACAAAATTGTATAAAATTTTTATGAATTTAGTTGATGTTAAATAGTGATTGGTACAATAATTTTGGTTTTTGTCTACGCCATTTTTTGTCTGATTGAAATTAATTCAATACAAGTAAAGAACACTCAANAGTATTTCATTAAAAAAATCCAGAAATATGAGCTCAGAACTGTGAAAAAAGCTAATAAATGAATGTCTTGACTCTCTAAGGAGTAAAAATGGAAACCGACTGAGCAGCCATATACACCAGAAGATAGAGCGAGCGACCCTCTACAAAACCTAGTAGATCACTCTTGACCCAAATTCGGAATGGATTTTTTTTTCTAAGGGAAAATTTGCGTAGCAGTGAAATTATTGGGCTTCCATTAGAAGTTTCACTTTTCGAAGCTGAACAATATGGCTCATATGCGATTCGATAGAGCTGGACGCGGGCTATCAGAATACATATAGGATGATTTCTTTTGGCTCTAAAATCAAAAAGAAAATCTTCGCGGAAAAACCAGAACTTTTCAATGTGACTATGATTTTCCCGAAATTTCGAAAATCGTATTTTGCTAATTTCAACCAGAGTCTACACTCAAACATTATTACCAAAATGATCAGCTCATCGAGCTCTACAAATTTTAAAGTTTCAGTCAATTCTAAGAGAGTCATATATAAAGTGGTACGTTTCCCATGGAGTCACCCAAAGGTAAAATTATTCGAGAATGAGAAAAAAAAGATCAAGAAACCGAGTCATTTCAGTTACTCTTCGCTGCGCAAGAATACATCAGCTTTGTTTCTTGAAATAACGCTCCTGCATTTTTCGAGATAGTTCAAGTGTAACTTTAACTTATTTCAGCATTCGATGTACATGCGATTTTTCATTATTTTCAGTTATTGAAAATGTTTCCATTAAGTCGCTGTGAAAAGCAGTATTTTATTATTTGGCTCATTACTGTTGTTGTTGTTGCTGTCATCGTCGTTGTTGTTGTAGCTGTAGTTGTTATAGTTGTTTTAGGAATACCGATTAAGGCGACAAGCATTGCAGCAATGCCCGCGCCTAGAAGAAGAATAGCCAGTAGAGATAGAAATAAACAGACAGGCGAATATTGACAACGAATGCGATTAAAATACCTAAGTGAACGATTTTTGAAACTTTTTAACAAAAAATGAAAAACAATGATTTACTGATTCTTTTTATTTATGTTCGATGCTTGTTGATGGATGTCCAGAAGATCCACGCCATTGGACAATGAGCCAGTTGCCTGAGTTAATTTAAAAGATGGATATAGAAGAAATAAAAAAGGAGAAATAGTTTCATTTAGGTTCCATTGTTATTATCGAATCGAATAAAATTATTTATGATAATAACTCAAATGCAAATATAATATATTGGGACAAAAATGATTTTACACTTCACTGACAGAAATCAAAATACCACCAAGCCTAAGTAGCTTTAGTTTTTGCCAATAAATACTTATTGACCATTCGTTATCTTTCTAAAATATATTCTCGAAACTGGTCAAAAAAAATAAACTGGAGATGTAAACTCCAAATTTGGAGTTTACTTACGCATGCATGTGTTCCGAAATGCATACAAAGACAACATACGACTGTTAAAATCAATAACAATTTCTAAAACTGTATTCATATTAATTATTACTCACGCTAATTACTTAGTACTCACCCTAATTAGTACTTCCATTAATTGGTACTCACCTTAATTAATATTCAGCCTAATTACTGCCACTCATAATTCATAGTCATAAATTTATAGGAGCCAACCTATGGAATTACCCAGAGGTTCTCAAGGGTTATCTTATGAAGGTACTCATAGGTCCTCAATAGTGGTGGTACATTTACTTTACTTTTTCAAAAAGTAAACATAGCATTTAGTA